ATCTGTTAAAATGAGATGTCACTGTTATTTTCATTTTTCAGTAATTTAAATGACAATTTATCATAGCACTCTCTATAATATAATGTGTTATTTATATTTATATTTTATTTTTTATTCAAAATTTTTCAAATCAAAACATCATATTTTAAAAAAGGAACTAAATTATGGAAATTTGATCTTCATTTTTTTTCAATTTTTATATTTTTTTTTTTTTATATCATTTTATTTTATATGACAGAAAAATAACCATCATTAAACATTAACAACCATTTTGAAGTTGAAATTGATCTGGACCACTAAAATAAATTGTGAACAGTTTGATTTTAAATTTTTTTTGAATGGATTTTATAATCTTACATGAAAAAATTAAAACAAATATATAATGATAAGTTGAGAATCAAATATTAGAAGACAGTGGAAATATAAATTGATTTCCATTTTTTTTACCCATATTTTTTGCCACCAGGTAGTAGAAATTCGAGATCAGAGTTTTCCTTCACTTAGATAACCTGCCTGGTTCCATCTACCCAGTTTAAAATTACTACACCTGGTATTCCCAAGCAGTCTTTCATTTATTCAATTGTGGCTTGAACAAACATAAACTTTAAAAAGTTTTATTTTATCTAACAACATTTTATATATTTAAATTCCTGTTATATATATATATATATATATATATATATATATATATATATATATATAATTTGGAAAATTTTAAGTCCACCAAATTATTCCAATCACCATAACATAAATTTAGAATTTGTTTGGTTGATTTTTGTGTTTAAAATAATCCATAAAATTTTTCTGGATTCAAATTTTTTGTCAATTCAAAAAAAAATTTTAAGATAAGGTTCTTTTTGAAACAAACAAATTAGTTATAGTTAAAAGCAAAAAACCACATATGAAAATTTATTTAAATTGCAAATACATGGCTCTAAAAAAAATGACATTGAAAAAAAAGATTCAAATTTCAAAATTTTTAAATTTTATATTTCAATTTTTTTTACACTTTTTTGATCATAAATAGTTGGTAAAATTTTGGTCATCATGGAAAGATTTTTTGATCAGTTCCAATTTTTTTTTCTCTTAAAAAGTGTAAACAAAAAAAAAATCCACTAACATATATAAATGCACCAAAATAAATTTTAGAAACCAGTGTGGATTTTCTTTTAAATTCTGATCAGATTTGATTTCAGGGGCAGAAATTCATAATCAATTTTTAAAAACAAAAATGGCAACAGTGCACCAAAAAAATAATGTTGCATGATAAATCAAAAATTTAAAAATGATTTTCATACAAAGTTTTTTCCAAATAAAATAAGAGCAGGAGTACAGACAAGAATATTCAACAAGACTGATTGATTTTAAAAAATCAAACTTATGAGTTATCATCAATGAGTTTTTATTTAAATTGCAATTTGGATCACTGTTTTTTAATTTCTTTTCAGTGAACACTAAGTTAAGTGGAGCAGCCTATTAATTTATATTTTATAACAACAGCAAAAAAAAAAAATAAAAATTTGTTTTCAAATAGTAGATATTTTCCATGATTCATTGAAACCTAAAATAAATTTATGGCTAAAAAAATATTTTTTTCATACAGTCTTAAAAAAAAAATATATATATATATATATATATATATATATATATATATATATATATATATATATATATATATATATATTAAAGCATTATTTAATTGAAAAAAATTTAGAACATATTATATTATTTGTTTTATTTTAATCCTCTAAGTTCACAGATCAATTTTTTTTTGTCTTAACAAAATTTATGAATTAAAAGTCATAATTATACATGATTTTTTTCAATTTATTTTCCCAAATATAAAAAAAAAAAAAAGATCATCTTAAAAGGTTGAAAAATAAAACAAAGAATTAATACAGATTTTTAAAAAAATTTTTTGAAAATGAATGCTGTAAATTCAAAATTTTTTTACTGCCATGTATTTTATTTAACTGTAAAAAATTTAAAAATGCTTATTAAAAAATTGTAATTACGTGTTTTAAAATATTTTTTTTAGTAAAAATCTTTAACAATTACAATTTAGATATTTTGAAAATTTTGCTGTTATAAACTGAAAATTTCAGAATTTTGTTTAAATACTCATAATTGATTTTATTTTTTTTGAATGAATAATTTGTTTTATAGATTTTTCAAAATTTGAAGTTTTTGTTTTTATTTTTTGTATTTTTAAATACTCAATTGTCAATTAATATTTTTAAATTTTTCAAATATTGGAAGGAATATTCCTTTAATTTTGTAATATTGAACTGAAATAATCCATATGAAATGAAATCCCCTTGTGAAAATTATTACATAGTGAAAAAAACCAACATATATATTTACTTTTTTAATCAGATATTAAAAATCTCCTAAAAAGAAATTGATATATAATGTTAAAAAATTTTTAAAATACTGGTTAATATAAATACATGGGAAAAAAATTATATAAATAATTTGGGGATAAACTATGACAAAGTGTAAATCCAAAAAATATGACATATTTTCATAATTAGGACTACATTTGAAAAAAAATAAAAATAAAAAAATTTTTATTTTAGTGTTTTTAAATTTGTGTGAAAATAAATATATTTTGACCAATAGAAAAAGGGATTTTAATGAGAAAACATGAAAAATATATTTTGACCAATGGAAAAGGAATTCTTAAAAAAACCGAAAAAAAATTAAAAAAAAATTTTAAGTTTTTTTTTATATTTTAATTTATTAATTGAATCAAGTGATTAGAGGCATGACAGATAGAGTTTCAAGAGAAAAGCTAGAAATAAGTAATAAATTTTATAAAAAATATTTAATTTTAAAAACAAATATCTGCCTATATTAATGACAATTTCTCTTGTTAAAAATCTTTGTTAATTTGATTTTTTAAAATAGTAGAGAGTTTGTTTAATTTGCATTTTCTCACCAAAACAGATTAGCTAACCCACTACAATATATATTCATTTTCCATCTAGGTAGTTTAACTTGTGAAATCCAATTTTTTCAAATTTTCCTTCCCATTTTTTATTTTTTTTTTTATAACAAAATTAAATTATAGACAAATTGTTGAGATATTTTTTACTTGAAAAAATCCATAATTAAAAGAACATTTTTTTTGAGAAAATGCAATTTTTATAATTTTTTCTGCTTTATATATCACTCCATGCATTACACCACACATGTATGGACACACACAGGGACCAGGTGCACAGCGTGTTCCCTAAAAATAAGTAGTCTCTTATAAAACCCATGACTGTAGTGTAATTGTTTTAAAATAAAAGTGCTTCTTGTAATTTGGGATCCATCATTAAAGGAATAAAAGAAAAGAAAATCGAATAATGTGACAAATTCTGATGAGAAAACAAATTCTTTCTAAGGATCACAATAATGCGTTTGCATTTCCTTTTTGTACTGATGCCCTTGGGAAAGGCATGAATGTATTTCTTCTCTCCATAGCTATGGCTTTTTAGGATCTTTAACCTAAGAAGGTACTGAAACCAGTCACGAAGGACAACTTCGAACTCAAAACTGTGAAGAAAATAACGGGAATTCACTATCTTTCCAACTCGAAGTTGTCCTTTAAAAATGTTTTACCTGGTAACAGGTAAAGTGATAAAAAAATCATTTTTTTTATTTTATTTAACTAACAGTCATTTAACCGGATTTTATTATTAAAGAAGATTCAGTTAATTAGAAGTTAAAACTGTTAAAGTAAACTGCGTATTTTTTGTAGAAATTTTGTTTATTATTATTATGTTCTTTGAATAATTAAAATTCAAAAAGAACATTTTTTTTGTTTTTTTGGGGGGGGTGATAATATTAATCACCCTTTAAATAAATGCTAAAATTAGTTAATTATTTATGAAAATAGAAATTCTTTTTCATTTATCCATAATTTTATTTTTAAAATATGCAAATTAGCAAATATATACAAACGTTTTTTTTTTTTTAAAAAGCCAAACAAATAAAACTGCATTTTTAATTTCTTTCTCTGAGTAGAATTTTAAAAAAACAAAAAAAAAACACTAATTTTTTTTAAAGGACTAAAAAAAATAATAAATAAAAATTATAAAATAATAATAAAATAATAAAATAACGCAAAAGTTTGATTGAAAAGATTTATGAATTTAGATTTTAGAGAGTATTTTTTTTTTTTTGCATCTTAGAAATTAAATCAATAAATAAATAAATAAATATCGAATCTTTATAATGAAAAATAAATCATGATGATTTTAAAATTCCTTGGAGTGTTGTTGGCGAACAATGTGCGACGTACTCACTCTTAAATTGTGGCCTGGCCTCCAAAGTTAGCTAAGCTAAACTAGCGCTAAAAATACCAGACATTATTTTTTTTTTTTTTTTACAGACTCATGCATTTTTTTTAATGACTTAAATTATAATAAAAAACAAACAAACAAAACAAAAACGAGTATAGTCTGCAGAGAGAGAAAAAAAGTTTAATTAAAAAACAGTAAAGTAAAAACTGAACTAAAAATTTAAAAAATTAAAAAGAAAAAAATTTGATGACATGAATAAACTTAAATATTCAACACTAGAAATAATTTTAGGCTTAAAAAATACATTTCCAGTCAACCCAATTTTTTATATTTCATATCTATTTTTATTAAAAACAAATTATTTTAAAATTACTACTTCGTTTCCTCACCTCGACTAACAACTAAATGAATTGTGTGAATTGTAGAAAACTTTTAGTTACTAACTAAAAATTTATACGGAGTTTAGTATTTACTTAATTTAATTAATTACTTTTTTTTAACTAACATATCGATTCTTTTTTCAATCTTTATTTTTTTATTTTTTAACTCCATTTGACAGAATGGCTGTTTATTTAAAAATAAAGAATGATGAAGGTGAACTTAAAAATGTTCTCTAGTCTAGTACTTACTAATCAAAATGACTGAACCATCGAGAAAGTAACTTAACCGAATGATGCATTTTACTTGTTAATAGTAATACTTACTTACCGATAGACATTTTCTCCCAAGTAGTTCGTTAACGAGAGACTTGGACTTTTTAAACCGCTTTCTCTGCTGCCAAAAATTTTAAAAATTGTTAAAACCAATTTTGAAGTTATTTATTATTACCAGAATCTATTGCGATGGCCGAAAAACGATCTCCCTATGTTTTATATTTTATTCTATTTTTTATTTATTTTGGTCTTGGAAAAAAAGTTTATAACGCTTTCTTTCCCTTTAAAACACGTGGAACTAACAAGAAATGGCGGGAAACAAGTGAAAACCAAATTTCATCAGTAGTATTAATTTGTTATTTTTGAATTGGTGTCGTATTGTATGAAAAATTGCGTGTCATGTGCTTTTTATGTTACATTACACAGTTAATAATTATAATATATTAATTATTAAGTTATCACACTTAAACATTTTCACAGAATTGGTGGAAACTAGAGTGAGACAGTTGAAATTTCCGGAACGCATTATGAGGATAGAAGGCTTGGAAAATTTAACATTCATAGGACATATTGAAGGATGGAAAGACAAAAAAGGAAATAGTGAATGACCTACTTAATGAGTTTTTGGGTTAATGGAGGGCTGAGCAGGGAAAAAGATGTAAAGAAAGAGTTAACTTAGACTAGAGCAACAAAGGATAGAATGTTGTGGAGGGTCATGAATGTTAAATGCTAGGATGATGCTAATAAAAACTTTTCTATGTTAAACTGAATGGACAGTCTCTCCACAAATTTTGGTCTAGATGTGAGAGACAACTTTTTAGACGTAAGCTAGAAAAATGCAATTCCAGATAATTAAAACAGAAACGCTGCCGGTTGATCCTAAAAATAGAATTTGTTTGAATTAATTCTTGGACTACTTAATAAACTAGTCCAAAAAAAAAAAAAAAAAAAAAAAAACGGAATTTTTTTTCAGGGAATAATTTTTTTGTAGATTAGCATGGAGACATTTTTTTAGACCTTCCTCAAGTCACGACATTTTAGAATCAATAAATATTTATATATTTTTTATTGATTTTTAGGAAAGGTTCTTGTTCATCCAGGATACAATGCAAAAAAAAAAAAAAAAATCGATCCCTGCCTTTTTTCTTACAGAGTTATTGCACTTAGTTGTTATTTGCAAATATTAAGTTTGAAAATGTTTTTCTTGCTGTCTTACATCATTGATGTCAGCATTTTGTTTTAATTTTTAGGAATTTAAAATTAAAAAACTTGGGGGACGGGTATTTCTTTGGAAGCACATGTACATTTGCACAAATATTTGACTTTTAGGTTAATTATTTATAAATTGAAGACTAAAAAAACGGATACATGTTCTTTAATTTAAAAAGTATATCCGTTTGTTTTTTGTATTATTTTTTAAAGAAATCTTTTAGTAAGAAAATAATAAATAAATTTTTAATAAATATGTTTTTTTTTTTTTCGTACGCAGGGTCGTTAACTCTAAAAAGAAAAAAAAAGACAGGGATCGATTTTACACTCTATCAACATTTTGAATAAGACCTCCACTTTTAAAAAAAATATACTTTCTCAGAAATGTTTAACCTACAATTTTTTTTTTTTTTTTACTATTTAAAAAAAAAAAAGATTTCCCCCTATATTTTACGGGTGGACAAGTCTATTTATTTTAAAATAAATAGTTTTCGAATTAATTACGGTATTACCATTTCTGTCGTTCAAGTTCCTCCTGGATACTCGGTAATTAATTCTCTAAAATTCGTAGAGTAATTTCGGTACAAACAAGCATTGGTTGCTCATGTCAACTAAATACTCTTTTCATGATTAAGCGCACAGAGAAGAAAAAAGGGTAAATTTTCATTTTAACACCTGAGCATCATTTACTGCTGAACTATTTTCTTTCAGAAATTAGTACGCGTTTCCGTGAAGCGATTTTTTTAAACTTAATTTAAGAATAAAAGCTAACTTTCAAATAAATAAACATCGACAAATAAAAGAATAACAAAAAAAAATCCTAACCAAATTTGAAAAAGAAAAAAAGAATAAAAAAAAAAAAAAAAACACCTAACTCTAATTTGAAAGTTAACTTTCTTTTTAAAAAAAAAAGAATAAATAAAAAAAAAAAAACACCTAACTCTAAATTTGAAAGTTAACATTCTTCTTTAAAAAAAAAAGCAAAGGATAACCAAAAAAAAAACACCTAATCCTAATTTGAAAGTTAACTTCTTAAAAAAAAAAAAAAAAATAAAAAAGAATAACCAAAAAAAAAACCCCCAAAAAACCCCACCTAACTCTAATTTGAAAGTTAACTACAAGGAATTACTGTGAAGGGAGTAAATAGGCCCAAATTGTATACGTCCACCGACAGAATTCAGCACTGAATTACATATCAATAAGACACTAATGGCCGACGAAAGACCAGGAAATAGTCCGATTTTTTTCGGGTTGTTAACATCCAAAAAGGTAGGTTTCTTTAATATCTAATTGTTGATTTGAGTTCAGCATATACATTTGCACGGAAATAAGACTATTTGGGAAAAATTTGAAGGGATATTAGCGCTCGGGTGTTAAAATGAAAATTTACCGAAAAAAGAAAGATCAACAAAAATAATATTTTGTTTCGGGGAGGGAAAAAGAAGGCCTAGTCACGATTTCGGGCCTGTGGAAAGTAACAGAGTAAAAGTGCAATATTTTAATTTAAGATAGGTAATAAATTATTAATCTAAGTAACATTTGGTTTAATTTACATTTTACAGTAGTTAAATAATTTCATTACTACAAATTAAATGACTTTTTATTTCTATTGTAAAATAACTGTAGTGTACCTCCACAAAACGCGATAACATTTATTTAAAATGAGTTTTTTTTATTAATGAAATTGAAATATCTGTCTTGAAGTTTTTATTTTAGTTTTTTTTTTTTAATTTCAAGCTGAGAGATTAGATATTTCTAATAAACAAATACTATTCTGTATTTCAAAACTAATTTAAATTGATTGAAAGGAGTTTTCGTTTTGGAATTTCTAAAATTTTTGAATTTAGCGCCATTTTTAGCAAAAAAAAAAACTCTTGTAAAAATGTAAATCTCTTTATTAAAAAATCTTCCAAAAAATAAAATATACTTTTCTGAAACTTTATTTGAGGAATATTATCTAACTTATAGCATAATTAATCCGATCTGGAACAACTGTAATTTTTTAAAGTTTAACATTTTAAAAAATACATTTTTTTAGCACGATTGTTAAGAAGTTGACAACTTTTGAGAGCTCGATGACAGATTTTTAAATATTGTTTCTACAGGGGCTTCAAACTTTAAAAAATTGAGGAATATAACGCGAACGCCTTTTAAGTACTCGGTAACCTTAAAAAATTAAGGAAATATTCTACTTTGAAGTATTTTTTAAACAAATTTTCATTTAAATGTATTTCGCAATTAAACAATTAAGTTGATTAATTAATTAAAAAAACCTTCAGCAATTTTTTTTCAAAAAGTACATTTTACTTTTTTAAAAGATTTTTCTAATAAAGAGAATTATATTGTATTGACAGATTTGTCAATATGGAGGATTAAATTAATAATCAGAAAAAAAGATTTAAATCAATAATTTAGTTCTTAGAAATAGAGCAACAAAGTAAAGTTTTTTTGTTTATTTTTAAATTTAGCTTTGAGTTTTTAAAGCATCAAGAAAAATTTTCGTTTTTTTTTTAAAATGCATTTTAATTTTTAAAACTTAGACATCGCTTTTTTTTTTTTTTTGAGGTACCTAACCTAACTATTTTACTAACTAAACTACAAATTGCTTACAGTTAAATTTCTAACTTCCTCGTGTTTTCAAGGTCACCTATCAAATCCACGTTGCTTAACTTTTAGTGACTAGGCGGTAACCGATGCTTTGATTGTGATTTTTAATTTAACCGTAAACAATAAACATTTTAAAAAGTTTTAGTCTGTTACCAATTTGATTATTTCTCCTTAATTCAATATGGATTCGGAAAACCACTCCTGACAACAATCTATACAAATCCCACAGCTATTTTTATTTTAATCTCTGCCCTGGCTTTTCACGTACACGCACGCACTCACGCGTGTGCGCGCGTACGTCTGTACACACATACACACATACACAGCACCTGATCATACATTCATTAAACAATTGGACACAATGTACTTACATGAATTTGATTTTTTAATCCACACGTAGCTCAAGAAAGGTACAAGCACGCACTTTTAAAAATCATTTTAAAAGAATTTCAATATATTCTCAAAGTTTTAATTACAACAAAATAATTAAGCCTTTTTAAAATCGTAAAAGTTTTTAAAACTTTTACGATTTTAAAAACTCTTTTTTTAAATAATAAATATTGTTTCTCTGTCAACAAATTTGGATTCTGCCACTGATTCAGCAGAACAATGAAACTTTAAGAAAAAAATCTTCTAAAAATAAAGTAGCTTTCATGGAAAATTCATTTAAAAAATTCTTAGGTGGATTTTTCTTTAACTTAAATAATATTATTACTTACTTTTTGCTTAAAAGAGTGAAAAATACGCGTCAAGAGGAAAAGTCCGTTGGCCCGTTTTAGATGGTGTTTTTTTTTTTTTTTTTTTAAGTCTTCCTTGTCACAGCTGATACTTAACCTGACAAAAATTACTTGTTGTTGCTTGTGTTTGTTCAATTATGATAGACCAAACATGACAAAAAATCCCTAAAAACAGGAATTTGTTTTCTTCGTCTGTGTAAGCAACGTTGATGTGATTCGACTAAAATTTAGTCACTAAATAAAGTACCAAACATCAAATAATTATTGGAATTCAATAAAATTTATTATTACTAATGAATGAATTTAAAAGGGTATTAAAAATATTGTGGAAATACATTATTCGGACCATTGTCCTCATTTTGTCGCCATATTTATTACAACGTTTCGGCCTTCTTCTATATGTGCTCATATTCCAACCACCTGAAGAAAGCCGGAGCGTACAACGGCCGAAACGTTGTAATAAATATGGTGACAAAGATGAGGACAATGGTCTGAATAATGTACATAATGTA